ATATTATCCAATTATTACCTGATTTGCACTTAAAGTTATCATATGAAAATCAATAAAATCAATTTTCTAAATTTCGCCACATAATAATAGTTTTTTGCTGTATTCATAAAAGCACTAAAAAATTTATCCTTATATGTCTAACTTGTAATGATTGATGTTAAAAGCAATGATAAACTGGGGGCTTATAAGTGGCTTACATTTTACTTCGATGCATTATTGATGTTAAACAAACAAGTGGCTTACAACATTTTTTCCATTCTGAAACATGTTTAATACCTGAGAAGGAAAAAAAATAATTAATATCTAAAAAAAAAATTTTTTTTTCTTTGCTCTTAGATATTCAAGGTTATCCAGAAAATCTTTACAGCTCACAAATCATTTTAAGTAACAATGATTTTCACATTAGAGAATTTTTCATGATCTAATAAAATTTCTAAATTTCACGTTATTAGTATTACTCTCTATTTAATAATATTTTTTTTTTTGGTTAGGAAGGATGTAACATTTGATATACACCATAAATTATTAAACCCTTGTGATTATTAAAATTATTTTATTTATTTGCCTGATGGTTGAAATAAGGATGGGGCTTAAAAGTGGCTTTACTGGCTTATATATTTTTTATACGGAAGTAACGGAGCTTGTTTTCTACTATACCAAAACGTGTTTAACCAAAAGTGCCACCAACAATTTTTGGCTGTGACTTTGTATTGCTAATCTAAAAATAGTAGAATATATAATTATGCGTGCGTGTTTTTTCCTGTAATTTCGTCTTGGAAAGATTATTATTCTTTATTACTATTTTACACTTTTTTTTGTATTTCTATTAAAGTTTTTTTTACGAACTTCGGAGTAAAACTATCAAGTTTTTGAAAAAACTTTTTATAATTAATTATTAATAACTAGACATAAAAACCTGTGCCATAATGTAAAACCCTGTGGGCTGTGACATACCTGCGCCTGATTCAAAAGCCGCTGGATCATGTACACATTCCGATGGACGCTAATGTTGATATAATTTTGATCGTCTGTTGATCGTTGATTTTTTTTTCGACCTGATCTTTTTTTTGTAAAAAAAATTTTCCTATTTATCTTTTTTCAGAAATTTTTTTTTTCAATAAATACATTTAATTAGTATAGTTATAATAATACTTTTTTATTATTATTAATAATTGATGTTAATAAGAAAATTTTATATAATGTTTCTGCTAACTTCTTTCATATAAAAATAAATTTTTTCCTATAAATATAACGTGCATTGTTAATGATAAATCCACATGCATTACATTCTAATATAATTACATTTTCCATTGGTTATTAGAAAATGAATTGTTTCAGGTGTTTCATAATTATTGTGACATCCTTGACATCTTGATATAATTATAATATTTTTGTTAAATACTATTTCTAAATCATAAAATTTTTTTAAAGCACATATCATTATAATTTTGTTGATTTCTATTGAAATAATTTGAAATTGAATTTTTCCTTAATTGTTTCGAAATTCGAATATTTTTGATATAATTCTTTAAAAAATATTTTTTTCACCTTTTAATATCTTGTAGGCAATTTTTACTAATGGTTACATAATTGATACATTCTTGATAAATACAAACATTGATACATGTAAATCTATTATGAATTTGATGAAGTCATAATTTCATTAAACGATGTCTTAATTTATGATTATCGTTAAATTGAATAATAGTTGAATTAAGAAATTATTAATTTTTCAATTGATTTTATATTTCTATAAGATTATGATATTTGTATATTAATAAAATTGTTCCATTATCACATTCGGAATTATCATGGACTCACGTTAGCGAAACGAAGTTTGTTTTTAAATAATTTTGTCAAGGTCTTACTAAGGAATGTAATCATTTATAAATCGTTAATATACAGTATATAATTATTATTTATGGGAAAATAGTAACATTAAATCCTTTAAAATTTTGCAACAGTTTATAAAACCGTAATCATTTTTTTATTCTGAAAATTTAAATAAATATCATGAAAAATGTTTTTATATTTTTTTAGAACCTTAGGAAGGATGACCCATCTGGAAAAAGTAAGAAAATACAATCTGGAAAATATTTTTGGAAGCATAAATAAAGTTCAGAATAATAATAATAATAATAAAGAATTGAAATAACATATAATTAAAAATTAACATAGATTAATACTATAATATGACTAAATTATTTATATATGGGTTATCAACATAATATAATACATTGCCTGAATGAAAATTTTGATGAACCTTTCCAGTATTATGAATATCTAGAAGTCCTCTTACGATTTCTTTTGATTTCTTAACTTTTGGATAATAATCTAATTTATTATTCAGATAGTAATTTCTCAAATTTCCATTTTCACAATAGCTTTAAACCATCATATTATAATCTTTGGCGTTTAGATCTTGAGATATTCCATAACATTGAATAACGGCACTAAGATATATCTGAAGATGATCTTTAATCTAATAAAATTATTGAAAGGGAAAATATTTGTAAAATACATGAATAAAAAATTTTATAAATGAATTACATTTCTTATTTTAATTATCTCATCTAAAAATTATGTACTTATACAAGATGAGTTATACAAACTTTTTAATGCAACTTTTATATTAAATTCCCTTTTCCACTTTTGACCTTCAATATCCCAGTAAGGAATAAATCTTTGGCTCAATTTGCCGAATAAATTTTGCCAAAACCACCTCTGGTTACGTAAGTGACATTTTTAAAATTTTCAAAAGGTATCCATTCAAGATAACAATCTATTAAATTCGAAGTTAACACTTTAATAATAAAGTGTAAAAATATAAAAAGAAAAAAAAGTAACCTAGTTCGGGTAAATTCATTCACAAATAAACTCTTGTGTGTAACATTCATTAATAATTCTATGGTATAACTGTATGGCATAAAAAAAAGCAATAAACATTAATAAATAGTTTAAGTCATTGTTTAGTTAATATTATGCTTTGATAATAGTAGATTAACTAATATTGTTTGTTAAATTGATATAATGATATTATTAAAGTTAATAATTTCTAACTCGACCTTATAATATATAAGCTTCAACTGCTAAAATGAAATCATTTTATTATTTAATAGCAAATGAAAAGAATGGCTCATAAATATTGGAACTTTCCTTTGAATATAAAATCATAAAATTATATTGGATGATTTAGTTGCAATCATGTAAAAAAATTTCATTACTTAAAAGAGTTATCATTATAAATAAATTTGACTTTTTCTCCTTTTGTCGATCCGTACAGACCGTACTTATTCCGTAGCGGCTTCCGGTACGGTTTATTTAGACTGGAACTACCAGAATTGGTCCAAAATTTTGGAATAATAATATATTAATTCCAGCCGAAATTATAGTCCAATCAGAGTTGAAATTTATAAATCTTATATGAAATATTTGAGGTTTTTATCCGGACTGAAACATTACTTCTGTGCATAATAATAAATGTGACGTGGATTTTGCTCGATTTATATAAATCATTACATCAAAATGAAATATATATGGCTTGAATCGTAATTAATTTACAAATAATAGAATATTTCATAAGCGTAATTCTATAAAAATTAAAAAACGACATTTGCCTATTAGTATTTAATGTAAAATCCGCAACTGAAAAGTATAAAAAAGAGCTTATTTATATTAAAATAGTAAAATGAAATAATAAACGCACTTTGTTTATTCTTTTAAGTATCATTTGAAAAAAAAATGTTATTAAAAATTATATGAAGATTGTATTTTAAAAAGCCTATCAATGTACCCTATATTTTTATTGAATATTTTTTTAAAAAAATTAAATCTATAAGTAATTTATATTTCTTAAAATAAGGAGATAAGGGCTAAATTCTCGTAAATTTTTTAAACTATTAAACAATAATTATTATCATTTCATTTTGCTTAAAACTTTATTGTAATAATTATATTTTCATGATTATTAGATGCTGCACCACATATTTCATTTGAACGGTCAGTTTATGTAAAAAATTCTTTTGATGCTAGATATTATTTATAAAAAAATTATTGGATATCTTCTTAATTTGATTATGCACTTTATTCTAATTATTTCAGTTTATCTTTATAAAATTGTGCGGCTTATGAGTAGTAAGAAAGAAATTATGATATATAACCTAATATTATATCTATTGAAATATAGAAAAGTTTATTTATAAAACTTTTGTTTGCACCTAATAGTTTTCTTTTGATTCTTTTGATTATTGGAGAAACCATGTAAACTTATCAACGTCATTAGCATCATTATTACAAATTACAAATGCATTGCTGACGTAAAATGGCATTATTTACTAATTACAATTCGCAGCGTTTATCAGTTACTGTATTTTTAACAAGATAAAAGAGTTTGTATAGTAAGATTTTAATAGATATTTTTTTTAGTCTGAACGAGATTAAACGAGTTTCTTTGTCGACTCTTTCAAGCATAAATTACGTAGTGCCAGACACTTGAAAAAAATATTGCTAATTTTACAATAAAGGATTTTCGAATAAATGATAATAATGTTAAAGTTTCCATGTATATGATAACAATTATTTTCCAGTTATTTTACAGAAACATTAATGATAATGTGACTTGTCTGCCAATTCACCAATCATATTTAAACAATAATAATACTGGTTCATAATCATTATAGTAACGATTTCACTTAAGAGGAGTTTTTATAAAATTTTATCATATAGCAATTGCAATTGTTCTGGACTTTGAATACCAGTGTTGGCCTTTTGGACCATTGGACTATTGGAATATTGGACTTAGTCCATTCCAATTCCATTAAAATTTGGACTATTGGACTATAGACCTTGTCCAACAGCTATAAGTTTTATATGTAATTTTAGCAAGTATATAAATAATTATAAAAGTTATAATTGCAAATCATTTTTTATTGATATTTATTAAAATTTTTTATTGAATTCATCAATTATGCTTAGCATTTTTATTGATATCTAAAATTTTTTTAATTGTTACCTAAAATAAAAGCTGACAAATAATTGGGTTCTCCTAAACTTTCAATAAAAATATCTTGAAGTTTCCATTTAGAATTTTGATCTCTAGCAGGATGAGGCAAATTTGATATATTTGTAACATTAATTTCAAGTTCTTCATCATCAACATTACTATCACTTTCATTATCATTATCATATTCTTCATTTGATTCATCTTCCAACATATTAATCCATCTTGACACTACACTTCTCCAATTACTTTCAGTTTGAACATTAGCATCTGTTTCAATAAATTCACTTGATGATTCATCATCTGACACGTTCAGATCATCTGATGCATTTGGATCTTCATTTTCATTTACTGGAAGTGCAACACCTGTACTTCGAAACTTTAATGCATCTTCATCAATTTTTTTTTGTTTAAGTTTTTGTTGCATTGAAGCACGTAACTGAGTCATTCCTAAAACCTTCTCATGCTAAATAATTTAAAAAAATATTAATAAATGATATAATTATATTTATTATAATTAAATTACTAATAAAAATACTTACTGCTAAACGATTTCGCCGCTTTGAGTGTAACCATCCCATTGTGGAAAAAAGTCTTTCAAGAGATGCTGTAGTTACTGCAATTGAAAAAATACGTTCAGCAACACGATAAAGTTCTTTAGAATAACCACGAACATAAACCCAAAATTCTAAAACATTATTATTAAA